GTAAACTCAGAGTGAGGGTTTGAGCTTTTATTTTGAAATCACAAATGAATAGTTATGGCCAAAGTACTTTGTTTTTGTATGCGTACGCTAGTGTATGCATACAGTCGAATGCGTAGCCATCAAAGTAGGCTATACTTAGTAGTTAGCATATTTAGAAAGATGATGTAGGCCTATTCGCCTGTGTTGGCGTAGGTTTATATGATTTACCTTACAAATCTGATGAAATGGCACACGTTGCGTCCCCAGATGAACGTTATAATAAACCCAAACTCACAGCAATATGCAGAGATGGAGTTTGAGACACTCCACACATGTAAATGATAACTGTTTGTGTGGAGCAGAATTTACTGTGAACGGAGCCGCTCTGACACGCACATACGTAACCTACCCACATGTAAATAATTAATGTGTATTAAACCTGCATATATTTATTTAATTTAATTGTAGTTTGTGAATTAACAGTGATATTATGCTTTATTATGATTTTTAAATGGGTTTAATATATCATGCGGCCTTGGAAAATGGTCTAATAATGTGTTTCATGGATTCTCGTCCGTGGAATGCTCCACTTCTGGGATTTTGCCGGTTACTCGACATGGGCAAAATGCAATCGATGATTTTTTTGTAATCGAGTACTCGAATTGAATCAAGGAATCGTGACAGACATAATTATCATTGTGCTCATATCATTATATCATTATATCATTGTTATCATTATATTTATCAATATAGTTGTTGCTATAGTTATTGCTGTAGATATTCTTATAATTAGCGTTATAGGTATTTTATTAGTTTTCATAATAGTTATCGTTATATTTATTGTTATAGCTATTATTATAATTTTGTTATCGTTATCACTAGTTATCATTCTATTTATTGTTATAGTTGTCTTTGTAATTATCTTTATAGTTATCATTATAGTTATTGTTTTTAGGTATTGTTATAATTTTTTGGTGTAGTTATCACTAGTTATCTTAATAATTATTGCTTTAGTTATATGTATAAAGTTATCACTATAGTTATCGTTATAGTTGTAATTATTATCATTAAAGTTAAATGTATAATTATTGTCATCACTATAGATATCATTATAGTTATTGTTATAATTATCATTATAGTTATCTGTATAATAATTTTTTTAGTTATCACTATAGTTTATTTTATTTCTTTCGAAATCTATGAGAAAAGCAAGTCCACACTACAACTATAATGATAACAACACAGAGGTACAATACTGCTGGAATCACTTTCAGAGCATTTTTTTCCAGCCGATGAATGAAAAAGCATTAACATACAATATGAATCCATCCTGCTATAAGGAGCACAAGTGTTTAAAGAAACATACATCAAAACGGCAACATACTTTTAAAATAAATGGAACGCTATAATCAGCTGATGTGAATGCTAATATAGTTATCATTATAGATATTGTTATAGTTATTGTTATCATTATTGTTATACAGTAGTTAGTGTTATTGTTATAGTTGTCACTATAGTAAAAGTGTTGATTGTGTCACAGTTTTAGTCATGGTTTTGGTGTTTTTTGTTTCGCCACCAAAACAACTAAAATTACATATTTGGTTCCGCACCAAATGCGAGAAATTAACAGATGCAGCATTTATAATCAAATTAAATTCCATTGCTGCATTAATAGTGTAAACACTCAATACACTTGTCCGTAGGTAAATATGTTTATACCTCTTTCTAATTAATCTGATTAAATCACACACACACACACAAATATACACACACAAACATAATAAAAAATAAAATAAAACTATGCCGCAGAAGTAGAAATATAAACTATGTAGATATAGAAGTATAGACTATAAAACTGTTGTTGATCTGCTGCACTATGTAATCTTAAATTGAGCTATTTATAACTTGATACAATATTTTAAAAACTTCTCACTTGAAAATGAGACGCTGAGAAAACAGTGATACGATCTGTAATGACCAAAGACACAGACAGACTGAATGACCTTTATCAGTTTGAGTGCAAACCAAGCGGCAACCTCCCGCTCTCTCTCGTGAAGCCCATAACCAGATCTATATGTATGGCTTTTCTGATTACGTAAACTTGCTCTGTAGCTCACCTGGTACAGCTCAAAGACTTGTAGAAGTAAGCTAAAATGGCATGGTTGCTTCAGCAAATGGGTTTTTTATGTCATGTTTGCTTTTGTTATCACTATCAGTTAGGATTAAGATCAGGGCCCGTATTCACAAAACATCTTAAGGCTAAAAGTAGCTCATAACTCACCGATTTAGGAGAAAATCTTAAAAATAATGGGCATGTCAGTCCTAAATTTAGGACTCCTATAAATTTTTGCTCTAAGAGTGTTTCACAAAGCGTTTTAGCACTAAAACTAGCTCCTAAATCTGTGAAACGTTAGGAGTAGTGAAGACGACTCCTAGTCACTAAGACCAAATCTGAACTATATTAAAATGGCTGTTGCCAGCAATCTACCTCGGAATATAAACATTTTAGAAACATTTGACG